CATCTTTCACCTCTAGATACCACGTTTGCCACTATAGACCGTATTTGTTAAAATGCATAAAGTATTAAAGAAGATATACTCATTTTCAATTTATGGTTTGCCTTGTCATCTTATAATTTAGGAAAACCAAGTCAGATAAAAGTGGATGTATGTCATGCATAGCACTTGGCAAAAAGTAAGATTTAATTATATGCCTTGTGTTATTTTTAACAAAATGTAATTACAGTGAATTAGGTACCTGCCTGTGTGGTATAACATAAGGTGCACCAAAAAAAAAAGAGTGAATGGATCACAGGTGGCCTTAGCCTTAAGGGATTTTTTTGTTTGTTTGTTTTCATGGAATTTCCCAAGTACCTAATGAGTTAGACAGTAAATATGTGTTGTGCTCCTGGAATGCTGCTATTAAGCTGTTATCATTGGTGCACGGGTATACCTTTTATGCCTAAACTGCATGGATATGGTGCAATTAGTTGACATTTTGAGTTATAATAAATTGAGAATCTTGAAAAACAATTTTTTTCACAGAGAGAACATAGGTAGCAGAATTCACTCTTGAGTTTTTAAAGAAGATTTTAAAGAAAGTAGCAAGCCAGAGAAGGTATCCACGAGTGGTTCAGCTCTGGGTCTTGGGAAACAATTTTAAAAAGGGAAGACAATTAGCTTTTTTACTAGTGTTGGTTAGACTCCATCTTCTTGTCCTCAAGAGACTTCTGGAGTCTTTTAAGGAGGTGAGGAGCTTAGATCACTCTTGTAACAGACAGCCATCCTGGACTCGTATTACGATGCTGTCCTCCACTTTCCATTCTCTCATCCTTGAATAGCTAGTACAATTCCAAGAGAGTAAAGAATGTCAGATTTATGGTGGATGACAGCATATTCAAGAAAAATTGCTTGCTCTTTTCTAAACTTGAAGACTGCTTTAGAAGGTGGCAAACATCATGGGACCCACTCTGTAACCTCATGCAATAAATTGATTTGACACCAGTTGTACAGATCATCACGCTAAAAATACATTCCTAGTATGTAGCTTTCCCCAAATAAATCACAGTAAAACCCGGCCGTCACAGTTGAGTTGACTTCCAAATAAGCTTAATATAATAATTAAGAAGTTCTACATTTTCATTAAATTACTTCCTTTCCTGCAGTAGCTCCCACATTCTCATTCATTTGCTCTTTCCCATGTGTTTTTCCCCCTAGATCATAATGGGCGTGATTCTGCTCTATAATTTACTTGGATCAAGTGCTTTGGTTGGTGCAGCTGTCATTGTGCTCCTGGCGCCAATTCAGTATTTCATTGCTACGAAGTTGGCAGAAGCTCAGAAGAGCACACTTGTAAGTAACATCTTTGGAAACTTTATTAGAGAAATCTAACAATCCTCTTTTATTTTCATAATACAGGAAATCAATACATACCACTCCGGATAATTTGGAAATCGTTATTTTTCATTTCACTTAGGCCACAACTGTGTATGCGCTGTGTTGCAAAAGCAATTTTTAAAATTAGATCGGACATTTAAGACCTAATTGTAGACTCAAAGTACCAGAATCACAATTCCTAATGATTTAAATTGCCATAAGGTGATGAGGCTTTCAATCTTCTTCTTAGATCACTCGTGTAAAGAATCTTCTTAAGTATATTTTGAGAGCATGGGATGCCAGTTATTGACATGGAAGAAGAGGATCAAGGGGCAAGTGAAGGGTTAAGTGTGCTGCTTCTGAAATTAAATTTCCCGAGGGTAGCCTCAAACCATGTGAGGATCTATAGAATTACACTGAAATGTTTTCAGTGGCACCTGGCTCTGGCGGAATTGTGTTCCTGGTCAACTTGGCAAGCAAGAACAAGCCCAATCATTGACCCATTCTGCTGTCCATTTGCTATGAAATAATTTTATTTGAGCAAGAAATAGTTTTTTTAAGAGAAATATTTGTGATGATAAAATTGTTGACAGCATGCTTAGAAAGAAACTTTGAATAAATAAGGGCAAGCCTGTCTGTGAATCAGGCATCCAATGTAGAGATGCTGCCCTTGAGAGGACTGTTTCTCAGGCTGGTGTTCCCACCGGCAAGTGAACCACATATCACTGATTTTCCC